ATATATATATATATATATATATATATATATATATTCTGACGGCGATTTATCAATTGGATCCTAAATAGTAAAATTCATAAAAATAAATATAAATATACATATAAAAGTGAATAATATACTTTTTTTTAAAATTATCTTAAATCAAGTTGATTATGCTTTTTATAGGCAGATATAGTGCTTCGTGGATATGGTGGTTGGAACACTAGGCTGGCTCTACTGGTTTTGGACCAAATATTTCCGAAGGTACTTCTTATAACCGTCGTTCAGTGTATAAAATTTAAATTCTTATTTTTTACTCTAATACGAAGGATCAATATATATATAAAATGATACGCCTATTCATATTTATTTGTTCATATATAATTGAGGATGCAACAATACAACCATCACTTGTTATCGTATACTTTGGTGGAAATGACTCGATGAAACCTGATCCAAATGGTCTAAATGCTCATGTTCCTCTTCTTGAATATATACAAAACATGAAGAACATTGTACTTCATATCAAGGTATCCATTTTGAAACTACTCAATTAACACGATAAATTTTGTAGCTAAACAATAAATTAATCGCTAATGCTTTATCGAAATTGCTTGCAGAGCCTATCGGAAAAGACTCGAATAATAGTTCTTAGTACTCCGCCAGTGAACGAGGAAAAAATCATCAAGTTGTTCGGGTAAGACGTACTGAAATGTAATAAAAATGGGATTTTAAGAAAATAAAATAAGACTTTTAATCTGATAGTCCTATGGTAAAATTATGTCAAATGCATTAAACTAAAAAAGAAAGTAGATCATTAATCTTTTTTAAGTGAAAGAAATACTAGTTTTTTTGACTTAACAGGGCAATCTATCGGAAATAATATTTCTTACAAACTTTACATCAAAAATCTCATATTTTAAAGGATTTTTGTTCGATAATTCGTATATTTGGCTTGCTATTGTTGTTTGATTTTGGGAAACAGAATTTCTCGACGTTCAAATGAGAGCTCACATATATATTCAGAAGCTTGTATAAAAATGTGCAAAGAGTTGGGGATCAAGGTGATTGATCTTTGGACTGCACTTCAAAATCGAAATGATTGGTTATCTGCTCATTTCACGTAGGTTTTTCTATCTTAATTTAAAGCTTCAATTATTAATTCGTCGTAAATAATTGATTAAAAAGTTAAATTCATGTAGATAACTTTACCAATTACGTTTAAGACTTCTCAACTACTTTCTAATTAAATTATTTTTACGGAGGACAGGTGAGAAAAAAGCTGTTAAATCCTAACTCATGTGCAACATTTCCTTATAAAGGATCACTTAGTTTTACACCCTCACATATGTAAACCCTTTTTGTAGTGATGTCTTCGAAAAATATTCTAAGAAAATTAATACATAAGATTTATTTATCCAAGATGGTATCCCACCACTTGAACTCGAACCGAGATGTATTAATATTACTTCCTAAGAGCAGCGTGTCTATCAATTTATCATCGGACAAGGGCCTAAAATATCCTTAAGGTATTAAAAATGGTACAAAATTACTCTTCATCCACCTATTGGCTTCAAAATGCCCTTTTCATCCACCTATTGGCTCCAAAATACCCTTATCATCCACCTTTGGGTTCAAAATTAACCACTTTTCTAATTGTTTTAAAATTAAACTCTTTAAATATTTTTTACAATACTTGACGTTCAACTATTGATTATAATTATAATTTATTAATATAATTTATAAACCAACCCACTACCCACTCATTACTAACTAAATCTCGCCCAATTAATAATTCAATTATAATATCAAAATCATCATAAACACTAATAAAACACGATGAAATTATAGATTTCTGAAAATGACATTCAAAATTATTCGAGTCCGAATCGAAGCCTAAATTTTGGTTGAGCCGCTTATTTAGGAGGACACTTTCTTTCAAAATTGAATTAGAAATTTATGATTAAAGGTAAAGAAGAAATACATCCCGAATTAATTCATGCACTTTTTTTAAATATAATTTTATAAATATTTAGATTTATTTTAAAACTTTAATATATTATTTTGAAAAAAAAGTTACCTAATAATTGAGACGTAAGAATAATTAAGATGAACATAGTTAGACTTTTAAGTTTATCGGTGATTTTTATTTAGCCACTTGAATGTATGATAATTTACTTCTATAATTTTTGAAAACACTTAAATGGTAGTAGCTTGCATTAATAATGTGACGGGTTCATTATCTTAGAGGGATTTAATTAGGAATGGGGTGGGTAGTGGATTGATTTATAAATTATACTAATAAGTTAAATTATAACAAATAGTTGAGCGCCACATATTTTAAAAAAATATTTAAATAGTTTAAATATAAAACTGTAAATAAGTGGTTAATTTTGAACCAAAAGGTGAATGACAAGGGTATTTTGGACCCAATAGGTTGGTGAGAAGGGTATTTTGAAACCAATAGGTGAATGTAGGGTAATTTTATACCATTTTCAATACATTAAAGGTATTTTAGGCCCTTTTCCAATTTATCATAGCACCTTGTCTTATTTATAATAGCCTATGAATAAGCAATCGTTGAGATTGAGTAAGCTATTTTAGTTTATTCAGTAATCATTCAAATGGATCAACAACAATAAAAAATTGTTCAAATAGAAATTTGAGGTTTAAGGTTCTAATTTTAAGTTGGGGTAACAAATAATGAAAGATAATATTGTCACTACAACAAAAATGATCATTAGCGGCAATTAATTTTTGATTGCCGCTAAATATGTATTTTTAGCGGTAGTTGTTACTCTTTGTATATGTCCATAAAACTTTTAGCGACATTGTTCTGATGACACTTAACTAATGTCGTAAAAGGCTTTAGCATTTTTTTATTAATATCAATTATTTAATGCCGCTAAAAGTTATTTTTATTGTAGTGTTTATTTAGTGAAAATAACTAGCAAGACCTCTATTTATATACTATAAAATCAATACTATAAAATCTACTTTAACTCAAAAATGGGAAAACTTATACCTATATGAATTTAACTACCAATCAACTAGACATGATTTCTTACAACTTTGAATTATTTTTTCCATTATATATATACACTTGAGGTTCAAATTCACTGTGATATTTTGTTACATTTGGGTGTGAAGGGATGGTATTCATTTAACAGCAGAAGCAAGCAAAGTTGTGGTTAAGGAAATCTTAAAGGTTGTGAAAGAAGCAGATTGGGAGCCAAATTTACATTGGAAATCATTGCCAAATGAATTTGCACAATGTTCACCTACTATCTTTGTTGGGACTGATGGTAACACTCCTCTTAATGTTGCTGATTTGGACTTGGACTGGCAAGCCCAATGGATCTGACAGTATGAATGTTCTGTCATGTTCGTCGGCGGCCAAGATAGGAATTTCTCTAATAATTTTTTGACCTGTCTCTGTATTCTGTATAATCACCTCTAACACTTTCTCTTTACATGTCTAAACTATCTTAATCTCGTTTTCCTCATTTTGTCCATCATTCAAGGGGCCAGTCCCACCTTAGTAGGGTGAATTGAAATAGATTAATAAATATTTTTTGTTTTTTTTAGAACGTTAAATATCTTAAAACAAGTTTGTCAAACCGACTTGTATTTGAGATTGAATTAAAAAAAAATACTTCAAGGTGGACTCAAACATGATACTCTTGTTAAGTCTTGTTAGGTTTTAAATGTAATTCGCATGTGATAATGTAAATCCAAATTACATGAGCTGGTCTACAATCTCAAAATTTCGTATAAATGAGGAGATCAAATATTTTAGGGAAAATGTACAAGTATTCCTTCAATCTATGCCCGAAATTCCAGAGACACACTTATACTATACTAAGGTTCTATTACCCTCTTGAACTTATTTTATAAGTAATTTTCTATCCTTTTTTCGACCTACGTGGCACTAGTTTGAAAAAAAAAGTCAACCATCATTGGGCCCACAAGATTGTGCCACGTAGGCCGAAAAGGAGTAGAAAATTATTAATAAAATAAGTTCAGAGAGGTAATAGGACCTTAGTATAATATAAGTGTGTCTCTGAGATTTCGGACATAGATTTAGGAGGTACTTATGCATTATCCCAATATTTTATATGACTTGCAAGAATATATTAAATATATTTTAATTTTATAGTCTTAAATGTGTAATTGGAATTAATCAATTACTAAAAAGGATAAGAAATACTTTTTTAAAAATGAATTAAAATAATAACAGGACAAACAAATCAAAATGAAGAAGAAATATAGTTTACTCAAACTAACAATACGAAGGTTTACGCCAATGTGAGAATGGATTACAGTGAGCACCAAATTGAAATTAAGGCAATTGCAAATTGAACGTATATTGTCAAGTATAATTGCAAATGGCAAGCTGCTTTAATTTAATGATAATAAATGCAGAGATAAATAGTTGATTTTTATTTTTATTTTTGGTAAAACCGATTATATATTAGAAAAATAGTTAAATACCAGCTAAGATTTATTAGTATAAAATCTATTTTTTCAAGCGTTAAAAAAGTGAGCAGCGTTTCGCTAGAGGTCTTTGTGATTTTAATATATACTTACGTTTCAATTCGTTTATTTTAGTTTTCTTTTTAACTATTCATATTTTTAAAATAAAAAAAATTTGCCCTACTCTTTTGTCTAACTCTTCAATTTCAACTTGTCAACTAACAATTTTATCAATATTAGTATCACAGGATTAAAGGATATTTTGATTGTAATTTATATTTAAAATCACAAGATTTTGGAAAAAAAAATAAAAATTACTACTTATATACAACACACGTCAACCAACATTTCGAGTTTGACCACATCCAAAGACAGAATCCTCAAAGTGTTCTCAGTACTACACGAAAAGTCTCATAGAAGAAGCTGCTACAACAAAGAACCAATTCCTATATATCAATAAAATTTACTTTTTTGAATTCTATATAAGATCAAAATCAGACAATCAAATTGAAACGGAGCGAGAGAGTAGTATATATATAGAGAGATATAGTAATAGATATATGATTGGTGCATCCTAAACTTGTCAACAACTAATTTAACATGGTCAGTAAAAAGTAGTCTTATCAAACATTCATAACTTATTGGCAAAACTATTTATAAAAGCCAAAGCATTACTAGTAACCTCCTTGACCTTCCCTGCACGATTACAAACATCTAATTTCAATGGCTCATCATCACTCACATCTTCAAATCCATCAGTACAAGTATCCTCATTGCTCAAAGCCGCACTCATCCATGTTTGAACGTTACTCATTTGAAACCTCAACGACTCGCTCGAGCCTCCGAGGGTACGCATTTGTCTCAACGAGTCGCGTATTTGATCGACTGCATCTCCAAATACGGAGAAGCAGTCGTGGAGCGCAGCCACTGCACGTGGCTGCGCTCCATAGTCAGCTTCGCGAGATAAGTTGGAAACAAAAGCTGACATTCGCTTAGCTTTTGCTAGGCTTACTCCAATAGCGACACGTGCTAGGCGACCGGGGTCTTGTTGTACCGCAGTCGCGTAGTGATTTAGTGAGTGGTAGCAGGTATCCGGATACAAAGTAGTTTTACAACTTGAACGGATGTAGTCCGAGTCATCGAGGACGATGTCAACGGATGACACCGTGGTGGGGTCGAGGAGGGCGGCGGAGGGGGCCGGGATAAGGAAGAGGTGGAGGAGCACGGTGGTGATGAGGATGCAAAGAGTACATGAAGTTTTCATGGTTTATCTACTATAGTTTATTTGTCAACAAAATGTAGCAATATATGGGCAATTGGTTTGGAGGTGAAATGACATTTTTGTCCTAATTAAGAACCATTTGTAATGTGGAGTGATGATTTTTGTTGTTGAAAAGAATATTCATTATGCTCCTTTAATTCTGGTAGTACTATTGAACAATGCAAAAAGTTGAAAAGTAATTACTTCTTCAATCTATAAAGTATTGATAAGATCTTATAGTTATCGTAATTTCTCTTTTAACTTTTCTTTTAGTCTATTAGAAAAAATAAATTAGTTTTTAGTAAATTCTTAGTGAGTCTATTTGGCTCAGCTTAAAAGCTGGTCAAACTGACTTAAAAGTTGGGTTTTGACTTATTTAACTGTTTGGCAATACTCAAAATAACTTATTTTAAGTTAAAAAAAAATTATTTTAAGTCAAAAGTTAAAAGCTGAGGTAGGGGTGTTTTTTTTTAGCTTATAAGTTGTTCTAAGTTTACCACATTTTTATTTTTTTGCCCATAATATTTTTATACAATCTGCAAATAACCCACATAACTCTAACATCTCTTTCTTCTATTTTTCCCTTTTCACGTTTGGCATAGCAACTTCAGCACTTTTATCCAAACGCATAATTGCTTATTTTAAAAATAAGTTTCAGCACTTTCAAAAATATTTTTTAAAGCTACTTTTATTAAGCCCATCCAAACAGGCCCTGTGTTTTTAGATCACAAAAAAATATAATTTTTTTAAATATATTTTACATATCTTCAACTTACGAGGGAAGATTTAAAAAGTCAAAATGTTATGAGTTAATTATCAACCACAAGGAAAAAGATTAAGGGAGCCATGTTAGCTAGAGATTAAGAAAATTCGCACAATTTGTTCAATAGTTTTACCACTATATGAAAGTAAAAGAATTAGCCATAGATAAATTTTCATAGTTAAATTAAAAAAATAATCATGCTAATTTTATTTAGCTACGGATTGCAAGTGCAATGAATTATATGAAAGATCAATTAATTAGAAGCTATTTCGTAAATAAATTAACCGGAGATTACCAATAAATTCCACAATATCTTGTAAATTATGTATATCATTTTATGAATAAAGATTGAAAAAAAGAAGTTAAATAGTATAAATTGGTCTTAATGTGTAGTTTACACATGACTCTTCTTTAATTTCTTCCCCATCTTTTGAATATTTTCACCATTTTTCAAACTCCAAAAATCCTATTTGATCCAATTCCTTGTAAGTGGGGTATTATACAAACTACTTTTGAACTTTCAAGTTCTTTTGCTGCCTAAATTAGCGCCACTTAATGGGATGGCCCTACAATAATTTTTTTTGGACCAAATGACTTTTACTTTATGTGACACCTAATTATATCATTAGTAATAACTACCAAACATTGATTAATTTTGACCTTTTGATGACAAAAAAAAAAAGTTGATGCATGTTCTGACCACCAATAAGAGCTTTCAGCATTTTTGCGACAGGAATTTTAGAGTATGATTAAATATGTCCTACTCCTACCTATACAAAGCTAAAATCAAATTTTATGACTTATCCTTAATTCATCTTATTAGTATTATAATTATATTTTTGGTAGCTTGAGAGTAGGTAATTTTTATCAATTTTCTATTTTGCAAATTAGTTAATTTATGCACTTGATTCTGGCTTATTATTAATACGGAAACTTGTATAAATTTCACTACTTTATGGCTAATTTTATAGATACATTCGGTTTAAAATATTACAAATTTTATCAGATTTTGGTGTGTCCATATACATGTATCCCGGGATACATATGGTTAAAATTAGGTGTAATTTGTTTTAGATACAAAACAAATTTGGCTCGCCTCCCTCATATCTTACTAGTCTTTCTCCTATGTATCTAGTTCCCAGATACATGCTAATCATACCATATATATACTAATATATGTATCCCAGGATACATATGGTCAAAATTAGGTGTAATTTGTTTTAGATACAAAACAAATATGGCTCGCCTCCCTCATATCTTACTAGTCTTTCTCCTATGTATCTAGTTCCCAGATATATGCTAATCATACCATAACAAATGCCGTCGTCTCCCTCCCTATTTTAGTGTATTTGATAGAAAAAATACATGTATCTAGATATATCTTCCTCAATATATAATAGAAAACTCCGAGTTAATGATAAAATATATACTTTGTCCTAAATAATGTGGCTCATTTCATTTTTCGAGAGTCAAACAGTTTAAATTTGACCGATAATTGTGCATGAAAGTTATATATTTGTAAATTACGTAAAAGATAGTATAAGTCACAACAATTAATAATTCATAATGTTTAAAAAATTTATGATCAAGATTAGACTTATTTAGATCTCGAAATTCAAAAAATAGCATATAAAATGAAACAAAAAAAAAGTATAATTTTGAAAAAACAAATAATAATAATATATATGATCATAGAAAATGTCTAATTATGCAATATCTCCATATCGTAAAGTATACTTTAGAATACTATCATAATACAGGTAGTGCTAATGTTGGTGGCTCTCATTGGATTTGTAATGCTTCTATTTGGTAATTAATTAACACGTGGAGAAAGTTCTATTATCATTGTTTTTATTTTATCTATTGAGTATATATACCATGCATGAGTAACTACAATTAAAATGCTATTAAATAATAACAATAATAATTTCAGTATAATTTCATAATTGAAATTAAAATAATAAAATTAATGTATTCATAATTGAAATTAAAATAATAAAATTAATGTACATATGTTATATTTATCTTTATGAGATACTTAAGTTATTTTTGATAAAAAACTTTTTTTTAATTTGATAGTGGAAGCAAGCTCATACGAATGGAGTTGAATAACACATGTTAAATAATTTACTAGCGAGTTCTTTTATTTACTAAAATATTAAATCATTTGAGCTTTAATAAAACCAACTTCTTGTCATTAATTTAATCCAATACTTTAAGGACATGAATGGAATCTTAACAAATAAATATATAGTATTTTTGTCCTTTCGGTGGTTAGATGTCAGTTTAGTGGGGGGATAAGTACGCATGCAATGAGTTTTCTTGTTTATATTTGGTCGAAATGCAATAATACTAAGTATAAAAATATATAGGACCAATAACAATAATAATAATAATAATAATAATAATAATAATGAAATACTACTATATAATTAATATGAAATAACTACATGACATAAGTTAGCCGGAAGTGGGGTGACCCAATCCTACCGCCCCACATTATGATGTCAATATTATAATACGTAAACACACTTTTTTAATTTGGACTTATTTAACAACTTTAATTTTAAGTGTATACAGATTAACACTCAATATATAGTTGAACAAGTAGGTGTACATATTCTACTTAATATTTTATGTGATAACTTGCATCATACGCAATATTTTACACAATATTTTAAGTATATTATTCCGTGCATGATGTATATGTATATTTGTTTAACTTTATACAAAATTTAAATAGTCATTTATGCGCACATAAAGTTGAAAAGCATAGAAGTCATTTGAGGTCAAGTTAAATGGTGTATTTATATAATATGCCTGATTAATTGAGGATATTTTGCAAATAGTTACTATAATAAACTTAATTAGGCCCCTAAACTATATTTTGTATATTTACGGATTGTAACTCTACTTTAAGCTACTATAGCATACCTCTTTTTGTATAATTCCCAGATATGTCTATGTAATTGAGTTATTTTCTTTCCTACTTGTACAAGCTGGTTAGTATAAATTGATTTGTATTTATGATTGATATAAATTTGAAATAACGAATAAGTTATACAAATTATATTATACAAACTAAAAAAGCGGCTGATTGGAATTATTAATTGCGAATAGTAATTAACAAATTAACGAATTAACTACTAATATATATTTATTTTACCGCTTAATTTTCCCTAATTAATTAGTTGGAAAATAAATTAATAACCACCACTACATTTTAATGTAAAATTATACGTACTTACACATAAACTTACAAGTATGTTACATAGATCTTTCTTCACAGGCCATGCCTAATCCTGATTTCTTAAGTAAAGTGCTCCACATCAATTTTCTCAACTCACACTTATAAGCATCATGAAGTCATATTACAAACAAAATATTCTGGATCAATCACATATATTGGATATACAAATTTTGTTCGTTTTTCTGAATTAGCTTTAGCCTGTTCTTAATTTTGGAATTAAAAAAAAGGTCTCGTGTTATATTATTATTTAAGAGTTAAAGTGTTTGATAAAATATATAGCTATTTTGAAAGCTCTAGTTTAGTTATAATTACATTTTATTATGTTCTGTTGATCGATTTTTATAGCAAAGTCTATCTATCACCTAAAAAAGGGAGTCAATAACGATTTACTTGAACAATAGAGCGGATTTCAAAGGCTTTGCTATGAATAGAAATGGCCCTTAAAGTGAACTCCTTTAGATTCAGTTGAAAAGATCGAAGAAGTCATCAATTCAACCATTCGAATGGTCTACCAAAGTAACATAATGATTCTGCAGAGATCAATAATGACAAAAGTTGTGAATGAGAAACATGCACTATCCAACCAAATTATTAAATTAAAAGATACGTCGAATATACGAAAGAAATATACAAATCAGATAGAAATATGCATGAGATAAAACAACTCGCACACGCACAATAATCAAACCACAGAAAATCAATCTGAAAAAAACCTCATTCCTTTCAGATCTCATTCTCCTCCTCCGCCTCCGCCTCCGCCATCGCCGCCGCTGCCGCCACCACCACCACCTCCACCGTGAGAACTACCATCCGCACCACCCTCCATGTCAGCTAAATGTGAGGTGGCTACGAACGCAACTGCCGCTGCTCCAGCGTCGTTGCCGCCAGTATTGGAGGTGGCTCCGCCGTGGCTACTACCATCGGCACGATTATAATCAGCATTGATATCTCTACTTTTTCGATTTGATTTTGTATTCGAAGATCCTTCTTCCTTAGTTTTGCTGCTCTTACGATTTAGAAAGCAAAAGCAGAAGCTGGTTTTACTAACCATTATAAAATTATGATAAAATCGAATCGAAAATAAATGAATGGTTAAGTAACATGTGTTTTGCATCGAAATAGTGGCATTTTTGCTTAATGTTGAAGGGATAACGACAACAATAATTT